TGTGTCAGATCTCTGCACTCTCATGTTCATTTCAGCATTACTGGTAATAGCTAAGATATGGAAACAAACTAAAAATACATTGACAGATGAATGGATAAAGAAAATGTGTGCATATATGTTGGGGGCGGGGTGTGTGTACACATACACACACATACACACACACACACACACACACAAAGAAAGAGAAATATTATTCGACCTTAAGAGAGGGAAATCCTACCATTTCCTTGTGGCAGGTGAAATAGGCCAGATGCAGAAAGACAAATACGACATGATCTGACTGTGTTAGTCTGTTTTTTTGTTTTTGTCTTTGTTTTGCATTGTTTTAAAGAAATACTTGAGGATGGGTAATTTATAAATAGAGGTGTTCTTGACTCATGGTTCTGCAGGCTGTACAAGCATGACACCAACATCTGCTTGGCTTATGGTGAGACCTCAGGAAGCTTACAATCATGGCAGAAGGCAAAGGGGGAAGCCAGCATATCACAAGGCGAAAGAGTGAGCAAGAAGGGTTGCAGGGGGCAGTGCTACACTCTTGTAAACAATCAGATCTCATGTGAACTGAGCAAGAACTCACTCATTACCAAGGAAATGGTACTAAGCCGTTCATGAGGAATCTGTCCCCATGATCCTGTACCTCCCACCAGGCCCCATCTCCAACCATGGAGGTCACATTTCAACAAGGGATTTGAATGGGACAAGCATCCAAACCATATTACTCACTTATATGTGGAATATAAAAAGAGTCAAACTCCTAGACAGAGAGTAGAGTGGTTATTACCAGGGGCTAGGGGAGAAAAAAATGAGGTGATATTGGTCAAAGAGTACAAAGTTTCAGTCATGCACGGTAAGTTCTGGATATCTTATGTACAGCAAGGTGACTACAGTTAACAATACTGTATACTTGAATCTGCTAAGAGGGTAGATCTTAAGTGTTCTCACCATAAAATGAAAATGAAAAACAAAATAAATGTGAGGTAACTGATACGCTAATTAGCTTATTGTGATAAGTACTTCAAAACACATATATATATCAAATAATCAACCTGTATACCTTAAATATGTACAATTTTTAATTGTTATTTATACCTCAATAAAGTTGGGGGGAAAAAGGACCTACCATACTTATTTTTTAAGCTAAATGAAGAATAGTTTATTGAATATATACCACGTTGAATACTGCTGCAATATAGAAACTACTACTTTCATGGTTTCAGGTATCACTGGAAGAAACCAATTCATTAAAGAAAATGTAGTTAATAAGCCTACATGTAAACTATTATAAAATCATTTCATTAATACAAGAAATATTTTAACTTAGGACACTAAGAATGAGCTAGAGACTTCATCTCTTTGGAGTTTAATTCTAAAATTGCCACTACCTACCATCATGATCCTACTTTTGTAGCTCAGTTTACTCACATTTAAGGCAATGAATCAAAATTTTAAAATATTATTTTGATTTATCCAAGCAACTGCTGGTGATTTAAACCTTAATGATGATTAAATTCAGCAGACTCATGACACAGAGATAGAACTTCAAACAATGTGGCAACACCACTGATGGAAAATCACAATACACAGGTTACCTTGGTATGCAGCAACAGGGATGGAGAAGTGTCTGTTAAATGTCAATGAAGTGAAAAGAACAGAACCATAAACAGGGCTACCAAATTAGTGGCTAATGCCAATCACACCAGAAGCATCTCTGAAATGCTTTGTATAAAACAAGGTAAATTACAAGATGATAGATGGCAAAAAAAAAAAAAAAGAAAAGAAAAAACAAAACAAGTAAATATCATATTTTCCTATTGACTTAAATTGTAATTTCAGTGTGGTGCTCGCTTGGAAAGTTCTTTTTAGTTACCCTTGAAATATCAAAATTTCATTAAGCATTTTCGGTTTGTTTATTCTTCCACCACTACTAGTAAGAATGTTAACAAGTAGATAATACCAGGATATACAGATGTGTATCAAAATATACTCAGAATATACCCACTGAGTATATATGCAAAAGTAATATAGCAGAGTGCATACAAATAAGACTCCTGAAGATGAAGAGACTTGGGTTCAAATCCTGGCTCTGCTACTTCCTTGTTCAGATGACTTTGGAAAAATTACAAACTATAAGCTTCAGTTTCCTCAACTGTAAATGGGGTTCATAATAATAAATTAGTGATGATAATATGGATACACAGTAACAGTACCTAAACTTCATGGGATCACTTGGGTTTTAAATAAAATAATGTATATAACATATACAGTAAGTGACTAATAATTATTAGCTATCATCCTTCCTCTGGAAATAATCACCAACTGCTTAAGACTTGGACATTTAAAAAGTCATACTCTCTCTGTCAGAGTTCTTGAAATGTTTCAGGAAACTAAGGAATTAGGTAGAATCTGCAGGGAGAAAATAAAAGGACTTGTTTTATGAATGAGGCTATCACTTTTAATTGTTATTCTTGCTATTTTTCTGAAAGAATTTGTAGTCCTTTATTTCAGAGACGACCATTAACTTTAATTACTTATTACATGCCAGTTGCTGTCTTAATTTTTTTTTCAATTCCATGAAGTAGAGATCTTCATTTTACAGATAGTGAGACTAACGTTTAGGGAGGGTAAATAGCTTGCTCAAAGTCATAAAGCAAGTAGGTTTCAGAAGCAGAATCCACAATCTCATCAACTGAAGTCAAATGTCTTTCCATTAAACCAAGAATATCCAATGACTATCTACCATTCACTATCACTAAGTGAAAATCTTATTATATTTGTTTTACATGACCTGGAGAAGAAACAAAGTTTGTAAAACAAGAAAAATATCATACAACTCTAATCCTCCATAACCTTTCAATCTAAATTTGCAATCTGAATATTTATTTTATCAGCCCTTGCATACATTCTGTGCCACAAACCAGCATAAGATTTAGTTCATTAACGTTCACCTTACACGCTTAATTGATGAAGGACCCACTGTTTTTGCTTACATAAAAATTTTATTCATAAAGTTTTAAACTATTAATCCCATGCTATTACTCAATGTCTTATATTTCCTTCTCTAGTAGAACCTTGTGGAGTTGTAAGGTGTTTTCTTATTGTTGTTGATGATATACATGGGAATGAAAATCTATTTTTTCCCCAGACAATATACAATCTGCGATCTGCTTTTATTCAGGGTTTCTGCTCCACAGAGGGAAAAAAACAAAAAAACAAAAAACCCACATACAATGGCTATGCACAGAGAAAACTTTTTTTAAAAATTTAGTACAAAGAAAGGAGAATCAGAGAAACACATTCTGGTCCATTCATTCTTTCACTTTCATTTAGAAAAAGGATTTAAAAACAAGCACAAAAATAAGTCAGATTTGTGTTACGAACAGTTAAGAAAGGACAAAGAAAATAACTGGACTAGTGTCATTCTAGTGATACGTTTTGAGATCAGTATTCATCAACGGGAAAATGTCATCCACAACTTTTTATTCAGTTTGAGCCATCAACATTAGTTATTATCTGCAGACACTGCTGCTTGAAATGAATCATGGTACTCGAGCAATTCAGAGCATATATTCCTATATTTAAAGTTATTGCCAGCTTTTAGCTTTAAACTACAAGTATATTTCAGAATTAATGACTTTCAGTAAAAAAACAAGGTATTTCATTATACATACATACAGGAAAATTTCAAGTTACAGTAGGTTAAAATGTCATTCGTTCAGTATTTTGGAACCTCCATGGTAACAATGATATGACTCTTAACACACTGCCTTTCGCGGGATATGGGTCACCTTAGTATAAAACACCTGAAGGTGGTTACATCAGAGGAAAACTACATTGTCGCAGAGCTTAAAAAAGAATCTTCATCTACTGCTTTCACAATGAAAATCACAAAATTATCTGTAATTCAGTGGAAAAAATCCAAAGGAATAAATTAACCATTTTTCATAGCTCTTAAAATGTTTTTAGAAAATTTCAACAGATTATTATAGAGACTGGCCAAAGGAAAACATATTTTCTATGGTGCAATACTCTGGCCACAATACCACCTCACAATAAAGCAGACAGAAAGCCAGAAAGACCTCAACTCACATCCTGATCTAGCATGATTAGGGTCTCTCAGGTTTCAGTTTCCTCACTTGTGAAACGAATGGAGTTAACTCATTCAATGTTGGTTGAATGTCTACTATGTGCCAAACCCTGCGTTAGCAATGAAAGTTTATTATTTAATTTTTGTTTTAAATAAAACCATGGTCCTTGTCCTTGCAAATCTTGTGAAGTGACAAATAAATGCAACATGATAACCACTACGAACAAACTGCTATGTCTGGGCAAATCAAAAGAGGCTGCAGAGGGGATAGTCAGTTGAGTTGAGACTTGAATGAATATGAGTTGTTTAGAGATGGGGATTATGGGTAATCCTTGCAGAAAGAAGAGACTACACAGACAAGATGACAAAAAAGGGCAAAAACAGAGAGAGGTTTAACGTAAATGATGCACAGGCTGGGTATTAAAGAAAACTGGTGGGAGACGCCACACTGAGGAATCTGACTTTAAGCACTAAGCCACTTAAACATTATCAGTAAGGTTCCTTCTACACTAAAACTCTGGAAATTGACTGTAGGCCCAACCAGGAACATTCAATGTCTCCACCACTTCATCTGAAGTTGTTAGAATCTCTTCAAGCAAAAAAGCAAAACTATCCAAGTGTTGATGCTGCGATTATGAAACCTAAAAGACCTCTCTTAACTGGTACATTTTAGGACTAGCAATAGGCATCTATTGTTATTAGCGAAATAAAGCATTTCTAAAAGCAAGATACGTAACAAGACATTTACTTCTGTACTTTATCAAATACATAACTGTAAACCTATAAATGGGAATATTAAAAAGATACTGAATTTACATGTCCCCAAAAATGATTTTTCATACTTTGTTCAAAGCATGCTTCACTGTGAACATCAATTAACTAGAAGAACCTAAAGAGAATATAAAGTTCTATTTACCTGTGTTCTGCAGGAACAGGGGGTGGCCAAACAGCAGGATCTCTAAATGGTTCATCTTGACAGGACACAGGGAAATCTGGAGGCTTGTCGATTTTAAAACTTTCTAAAGTGCTGACAATACTTTTCACCTGTTCATATTCTTCCAATAATTCCTGCCGAACCTTAAAAAAAAAGCTTTATGCTAGAAGCTGTTTAAAGACTTCATGAATTTTAAATAATAAATTGCTATAGAGTGCATGTTTTCTTAATGTCAAAGTATGAAAAATGAATCATTAAGACATTCATAAACACAAAGAACTATTTCAAGTAATACTGAGAAAAGGGCAGAAATTAGTTTGAAAAAGCGTAATTCTATACCTTTTAATAAGTAGTAATCTCTCTTTCATAATGGAATTCCATTTCTACCAAAGAACGTGAAGATCATTAATACAATTTAAAACAATCAACTAAGTAGGTAACAAGTTAAACATTCCAAGAAATGTAAAATATTGTGCTAAATACTTTTAATATATTTGTAAATAGATTCCAAAAAACTGTAAGCCAAAATTTTCAACACAATTCCTATTCCCAATATCACTAAATATAAAACGCCTGTCATGAGTGTCTGAAAGCTAGAAGTGGTATTATACTATGAATTACAAACTTCCAGTTTTTATTTAAATTCTCCTTCAACTGAAATCTGAATTATTTTTGCCTTATTTAAATTATTTTGAGTTCTGAGTAAAGTTTATTTTTATTTCAAAGACAAGGTTTTTCCTGTATTTAAAAAATTTAACTGAACACATACTATGAGGAAATTCTTGTGTTTTCAAACTTGGAGCACAAACTCATTTTCAAAAGTAAACAGATAAAGATTAAAAATTACATTCAAGACCAGCCTAGGGAAACAAAAAAATTAGCCCAGGCACGACAGCGCGAGTCTACAGTCCTAGCTACTCAGGAGGCTGAGGCAGAAGGATCATTTGAGCCCAAGAGTCCGAGGCTGCAATCACACTACTGCACTCCAGTCTGGGCAACAGAGCAAGACTCCATGTCAAAAAAAAAAAGAAAGAAAAGAAAATTACAATTATAAGTCATTTTAACAATTGTTTTTTCTTTAACCAGAAAGCAAGTCATACTGTAACGCAGAGTATAAAAAATTTTCCCTCATCTTTATATTGAATAATCTATTAAAAGGAACATATGAAGGAGTTACAGATGCAAAGAAAAAGCTAGGTAAAATTCAACTGCTAATACATGCAATTACACAATATGCTACACTGGAAGAAATGTAATTTCAGAACCCAGTGGAAAGAAACATAGTAGAAATGGTCACTATTTAACATACACAATTCAGAACATGTCAAAAATACTTCCATGATAGATTAATAAAATACCCTGCCTGTAGCTAACAGGAAGGATAGAAGAAAACAACTAAAAATTTGAGCCTGAGTTGGAGCAAGTATATTGTTCTCAATCAATATAATTTGGTAACATTTAAGTTGGAAAATAAGTCAAATTTACCCTCAAAACTTAGGAAAACATCAATTTCTGACTAATGGAAAAACTAGAAGAAACACTTGAAAGGCATTAGTACATAAAATGGAAACTTCAAAGAAATACTTGACTTAGTACTTGTAATTTTTAAAAGATTTTAAATTTTAACACCAAGTGGGGAGTGGTCTGCATTGGAAGCACATATACTAACACTGGAATGACACAGACAAGACCAGTATGTCCCCTGCACGGGATGCACACAAACTCCTGAAGTGTTCCGTATCTTTTCACTTAACATTTTCTAAAAAGGATGTTATGTTGTTTCAGTATAACAGGTGAAAACACAAGCTTAAATAATAAACCCTTACAAAACAAAAGCCAATTTTGTTTAAACATCACTGAAGATGCTTTTATTTATTTCCTTAAAGATCTATTGCTTATAAGTATGATTTGTAAAAAAAAAAAAAAAAATCGTTTTTAAAAGTTACAATTATTTTGAAATTGGAGCAGCAAAGCAAGAACTATGCTAAGAGATACTGATTAAAACATTAAATTTAAAAAACAGTAAGTGGGTAAATTAAAATTCAAGTTTTTATTAACTGTCTTATTAATCAAATTATATAGTCAAAAGACAACAAATACAGTAATGTTTATTATTAGATTACTGACTCATTTGTATTTTTAAGGAGTCTTTCAAAAGAGTTTTGCAAAATGGGTCAAAACAACATGTAAATATGAAAGGGAAAAGGGCGAGTATGAATACTTTATTTCGGGTCCAGCACAGTGGCTCACATATGTAATACCTGTGCTTTGAGGGGCCAAGGCAGGAGGATCACTTGAGGCCAGGGGTTTGAGTCCACCCTGGGCAACATAGCAATACTCAGTCCTTACAAAAAATCTAAAAATTAGCTGGACATGTGGTGTGAACCTGTCCCCCTAGCTACCTGGGAAGCTGAGGTGGGAGGATCGCTTGAGCCCAGCAGTTTGAGGCTGCAGTGAGCTGTGATGGCACCACTGCACTCCAGCCTGGGTGACAGAGCAAAACCCTTTAAAAAAAAAAAAAAAAAGAAAGAAAAGAAAGAAAAGAAAGAAAGAGAATGGGCCAGGTGCGGTGACTCACGCCTGTAATCCCAGCACTTTGGGAGGCTGAGGTGAGTGGATCACTAGGTCAGGAATTCAAGACCAGCCTGGCCAACATGGTGAAACTCCGTTTCTACTAAAAGTACAAAAATTAACTGGGCATGGTGGTGCATGCCTGCAGTCCCAGCAACTTGGGAGGCTGAGGCAGGAGAACTGCTTAAACCTGGGAGGCAGAGGTTGCAGTGAGCCAAGATCGTGCCACTGCACTCCAGCCTGGGCAACAGAACAAGACTCTGTCTCAAAAAAAAAAAAAAGAATGAATGAATGAAATACTTTATTTCGAAAGTTTGTAGTCACACAATTAGGTACTGATCATGAAAACAGAAAAAAGTAAAAGTAGATTCAATTGGAATTAAATATCTTCAAAACATACCTCATGAAATATATGATCAAAAAACAAAACATTAACTAGGTAAGATACTAAAATATACAAGAGCATATTTTAAACATAGTTCAGTATTCAGATAAATAGGAACTATTTCCATCTCAAACTCATTTTCCGACTCTAATCTCTCAAGTAAAATAGGGTACTGCTGTCCCAACACATCTAATACTTTAATATCATCTTACCTGTTGCCATTTGCCTTTGATAGCTGGATCTCTGACTGACTGGCAATGTCTCTGAATTTGCTGTATCACCCCCTGGTAATAAACCATTGATGAATCGTAATTTCCAAGAAGGGCATATTCTCTTCCTTTCTTTGCATTATCACAAATCTCAGCCAAATTCATCTTCTTTCAGAGACCTAAACATAAAATATAATGACTTTTTAAAGTTTTCAGCACTGACTTTAAAACATTTATTGTTCTTTAAAATATGTTTAAAACTACTTTTTTTTGAGTTAGAGTCTCACTTTGTTGCCCAGACTGGAGTGCAGCGGCGTGATCTTGACTCACTGAAACCTCCATCTCCCCGGCTCAAGCGATTCCTGAGCAGCTGCGACTACAGGGGTGCACCACCATGCCCAGCTAATTTTTGTATTTTTAGTAGAGATGGGTTTCACCATGTTGGCCAGGCTGGTCTCAAACTCCCGACCTCAGGTGATCCACCCACCTCGGTCTCCCAAAGTGCTGGGATTACAGGCGTGAGCCACTGTGCCCAGCCTAGAACTACTTTGAAAGTCAACAGTTACCATTCTTTTAGGTTATCTGTACGCATCTTATAATACTAAACAAAGTTTTCAAATTTGGAAGTATAAAGGAGATTACAAAAGAACACCCATGGAAATAATAGGGAGAGAAGTTACACAGCTATGAACTACTGATTTACTTACAGATACATAAAATTGGACACTAGTTTTCCTTATTCCTTTATAATTACCATAGGCTGCAATAATAGATGAACTTGTTTTATTCAATTTATTCTTGACAACATAAAAAATATGATTATCACATAAATATATGAATATATTTTCTACTGAAGTCAGTTGAAACTATAAGAACTAGTTCTCACTAAAACTTCTTGGCCCCAAGAATAAAAAGCTATACTTAAAGAATAGATTTTAAAGACAGTCTATAGTTGTCCGTGTACCATTTATACTCATGTAATTGCCTCAAATTTAAATCTAAGCAAACACCTATAAATTAAACTCTTTGAACCCCAATTTGTAATCTTCTAAGACCCCATGATTCTCTATAGCTCTTTGGCCATGCAAATAACTATCGTGATTTTCCTTTCTATAAGATGTTAGTCAGAATACCCTCTAAATTTCTGGCTTCCACTAAAGCTCTCCAGTCCAGTAATTCTGGCTTTTCTTCCAGGCTTTCCAAAAGTCTCCTAGAATCATCCAAGGCTTATATGCAAAGATACTTTCCTCCCAAGACTAAAAAGAATAGAAGTCCAGAGATACAGGAGAATGATATCCTGAGAAAGAGTCAAAATTGCCTTCTGATTTCCAGGAACAGTAAACCAATGAATACACATAAAGAAGAAAATCGAAATACTACTCTATGACTTATTCAGGGAATTAAACTTTGGCTTGGGGAGCCTGACTCTTCCACTCTGACTCTCAATCTCTTATCTGTTCTTCAGGAATTCAAAAATTCTTCCTGAAAATTAACCATCACTAGTTCTAGGCATTTCAACTGACTCCAAAACATTTTTGAAAACAAATGTTTGTGTTTGGCATGTTATTTTCCCCTTATAGGTTCCATGAAGGCAGAGTTACATTATTTGAGAATCACACTGCAGCAAATAGTACACTACTAATATGGTTTGGCTCTGTCCTCACCTAAATCTCACTTAAATTGTAATAATCCCCACGTGTCAAGGGCGGGACCAGGTGGTAGTAAATGGATCAAGGGGGCAGTTTCCTCCATGCTGTTCTTGTGATAATGAGTAAGTCTCATGAGAGATCTGATGGTTTTTCGTTTTCTGTTTTTTTTTTTAGATGGAGTCTCACTCTGTCACCCAGGCTGGAGTACAGCGGCGCTATCTTGGCTCACTGCAAGCTCTGCCTCCTGGGTTCGTGCCATTCTCCTGCCTCAGCCTCCCAAGTAGCTGGGACTACAGGCACCCACCACCATGCCCGGCTAATTTTTTTTGTATTTTTAGTAGAGACGGGGTTTCACCGTGTTAGCCAGGATGGTCTCGATCTCCTCACCTTGTGATCCGCCCTCCTCAGCCTCCCAAAGTGCTGGGATTACAGGCGTGAGCCACCGCGCCCGGCCGAGATCTGATGGTTTTATAAGCGTCTGGTATTCCCCCTGCTGGCATGCATTCTCTCTCCTGCCCCCTGTGAAGAGGTGCCTTCCACCATGATTGTAAGTTTTCTGAGGCCTCCCCAGCCATGCAAAACTGTGAGTCAATTAAACCTCTTTTCTTTACAAATTACCCAGTCTGAGGTTTTTCTTCATAGCAGTGTGCGAAAGGACTAATACAGTAGACTAGTACCAGGAGTGGGGTGCTGCTACAAGGATACCTGAAAATGTGGAAGTGACTTTGGAACTGGGCAACAGGCAGAGGCTGGAACAGTTTGGAGGGCTCAGAACACAGAAAAATGTGGGAAAGTTTGGAACTTCCTAGAGACTTGTTAAATGGTTTTGACCAAAATGGTGATAGTGATATGGACAATGAAGTTCAAGCTGAAGTGGTTGCAGATGAAGATGAACTTGTTGGGAACTGGGATAAATGGGACCCTTGCTATGCTTTGGCAAAGAGACTGGCAGCATTTTGTTCCTGCCCTAGAGATCTGTGGAACTTTGAACTTGAGAGAGGTGATTTATGGTATCTGGCGGAAGAAATTTCTAAGCAGCAAAGTGTTCAAGAGGTGATTTGGGAGGGGGGAGTTGCTCTTAAAAGCATTCAGTTTTACCTATTCACAAAGATTAGGTCTGGAATTGAAATTTATGTTTAAAAGGGAAGCAGTGAATAGAGGTTTAGAAAATGCGTAGCCTGACAATGCAATAGAAAAGAAAAACCCATTTCTGCCAGCTGCAGAAATTCGAGTAAGTAACAAGGAATCAAAAGCTAATCACCAAGACAATGGGGAAAATGCCTCCAGGGCACATCAGAGATGTTGGCAGCCCCTCCCATCACAAGCCCAGAGGCCTAGGAGGGAAAAATGGGTTTCCTAGGCTGGGTCTAGGGCCCCCCTGTTGTGTGCAGCCGTGGGACTTGGTGCTCTGCACCCAGCCACTCCAGCCATGGCTAAAAGGGGCCAAGGTACAACTCAGGCCATGGCTTCAGTGGGTACAAGCCCCAAGTTCTGGCAGCTTCCACATGGTGTTGGGCCTGTGGGTGCACAGAAGATGAGAACTGAGGTTTGGGAACCTCCCTCTAGATTTCAGAGGATGTATGGAAATGCCTGAATGTCCAGGCAGAAGTCTGCTGCAGGGGCAGGGCCCTCATGGAGAACCTCTGCTAGGGAAGTGCGGAAGGGAAATGTGTGGCTGGAGCTACCACTGAGTCCCCACTAGGGCACTGCCTAGTGGAGTTGTAACAAGAGGGCCACCACCCTCCAGATCCCAGAATGGTAGATCCACTAACAGCTTGCACTATGCATCTGGAAAAGCCACAGACACTCGAGGCCAGCTGTGAAAGCAGCCAGGAGGTGGGGATGTACCCTGCAAAGCCACAGGGGTGGAGCTGCCTGAGGCCATGGGAACCTACCTCTGACATCAGTGTGACCTGGATGTCAGATATGGAGTCAAAGGAGGTAATTTTGGAAGTTTAAGGTTTAATGACTGCCCTACTGGATTTCAGAATTGCATGGGGCCTATATCCCTTTGTTTTAGCCAATTTCTCCCATTTGGAACAAGTGTATTTACCCAACGCTTGTACTCCCAATATATCTAAAAAGTAACTAACTTGTTTTTGATACAGGCTCATAGGTGGGAGAAACTTGCCTTGTCTCAAATGAGACTTTGGACTTGGACTTTTGAGTCTGGAATGAGTTAAGACTTTGGGGGACGGCCGGGCGCGGTGGCTCAAGCCTGTAATCCCAGCACTTTGGGAGGACGAGACGGGCGGATCACGAGGTCAGGAGATCGAGACCATCCTGGCTAACACGGTGAAACCCTGTCTCTACTAAAAAT